GTTGGTTTGATTAATTTGATTTTCATGCGAAAGAATGATAACTTGAACTAAATAGTGTTTTGAAGAAACGACTTTGATCGGAACGATGCATTTTTGAACAGTAGCCTTAATCAACAGCAACCGATAATAAGGCGAGGAGACTCATGTAAATCAATGTATTTATCCCCCCCCCTTGTTTTAAGGGTGAGGTAAAAAAGACGAAAGTTTGTTTTGAATGGAAATTCCAACCATCCAAATGTATTCAACAGTACTGAAAAACGTGGAGAAAAATACACAAAATTGCATATCCCCATGAACAGCGCCCCCTGTGTTCAACAATTCCCCACCCCAGCCCCACATCTTTTTGAATTTCCAAAGCTGGACAATTTATTTTTTTTTTTCATTTCATTACCCACCCCCCAGTCTCCGGCTCATATTGAAGCCAATGCATTACCTTCTTGACTGTCACAAGTATTTTGGTGTACGAGAAGACAATGACGGATAGAGGGAGCACCAGGATCATGAAGAAGATGAAAAACGTGTAGGAGCGACTTCCCGTCTGCCAATTCACGGAACAAACTGTGGAAGAACGAAACAAAAGACAACGAAGAAATAGGAAGTAGGATGATGCCAGACGAAAGAACAAAAGAAAACACTCGTCACTTGAGGGGGCCAACACCACCCAACAACAGTCACTGGAGAGGGTGCGTAGATCGATTGAGTAAGATAAACTTTGAAATACAGACTCAAGTCAAAAAAATATATCGAAGGAGCAGACGAATACTCTATGCGCAGCCCACAATATACACACATCCAGAAATGATTCTGCTGGCGAGATTCAATTGCTTTCCACAACGAAATAATTTCTCCATTTTACACAACCAGTTTCGCCCATGTCGAATGGATTATGTACAAAGTGTCTCTCTTTGGTTTGGTTGGGTCCATTTCGTTATTTTCTCCAAAAAAAAGCCTCAGACGCGGAGATCACTGGCGATTATTTCCAAGGGTAATTTCAACATAACATCAGCCATTGAACGATTACCAAACATGACTGGAAACGAACCAACCACTAGTTAACTACTGGTCCTTGGTCGAATATATTGTTCACTTTTGTGCGTTTATGAGAGACCACAAAAATAGCGCACATTCATTGAACACTGAATGGGCGCGTAATATGCAGGAGGAACTTTCGTTGAGTGTTTTTATAGACAGATCTGATGACTAAAATTATAAGCCATTACTACAGGGCTATCCAGACCGCACGCCAGCGATGCACTCCAGTGAAATTCCCCCTTGACCAACTGCTGGGCTATCCTGATCGCACGCCGGCGATGCGCTCCCGTGAAATTCCTCCTTGACCAATAAGCAGTAGTCAGTAGCCAAAGTGCGCGCTCAGGTTAAGACAGCAGCATTAGAGTAAATGGCCCCTTGGAATGGCGTCTTATCAGATTTATCTAGACCACTGTAGGTACGCTTGCGCTACGATGTACGAATACACGTCCTGTAATTTTGAACTGTTGAGCGCACGTGCACTGTGGGGTGTGGTGGTCACATTACTACAGGCTTCAAGTAGATTCCTTGAAGGAATTCTGAAACAGTGTCTTGATTTAGCAGACTTTTACTGCCCCCCAAGAAATAATAATTATTAGAACCTCTTGATGTTGAGACGAAAAAATGCCATAAGGCTTTCTTTACATGAAAAAGACCACACACGCCTGTACTGAATATTCGGGAAAGACCAGCAAGGCAAACTTTTCAAAATGTAGAGGGAACTACGCGGCTGATGTATGTGCATCCACTATCCTGTTTTTATGCACACCCAGATACTTATCTACAGAAGCAATGGCTCACGCACGTACATTTCATATCAGGATTCTTCTGATGTCTGTGATTTCGACATAGACCTACTTTTGATTTTTTTTAACCTGACAGGAAAGCATCTTTCTGTTCATTGTTACGTATTAGAGTGTCTCCCGCTCCTTGTCATGTTACATGTACATATACATGTAGAGGCAACCTCGTTCCCATGGGTACGATCTTGATGCGCCATATTGATTCCCAACATGCCTTGCTCGATTTTAATCTCTGGTATTGCAATTTTAAGGCTGTGACCGAGACGGGCTTCCATAGCTGAGACTAGGTCTACTGTCTGCGCGTCTCCCAATGTTTCCAAAGGAGTGAAGACCTAGACCTAGCTCTAAATAACAGATTCGGAAGGAGGGCGGATAATTTACTCTCCCATTTTGGGGGCACGGTCATCGCATAGTCAATGGGCCGATCTAGAGGTTTCTTTTCTGTATTCATGGGTAAGACTGGGGTGTATTTTGAACACGAAAATTTGGAACGCTCCCGGGGCGATTTTGACGGCCGAACGCAACGCACATGTGTGTTAAAGCCTGGTTTGTATATCGACGTAAGAAACTCAGAGAGCAACGCAGTCAAGATGCAAACTGCAACGCAGACATGTGGAAATATGTCAAAAGGTAGGGTCACCGACAACGCAGACAAACACAAACCAGCCTGCGAACTATCGGCAAGCTTGAGCAAGTTCAACTTTGTCGAGTAGCTGCGTCGAGTAGCCGTATCCCTAGGCCTATACAACCACGCATGCTGGCATGAGCGGCATGTTCAAATGTCCCTGACGCTTAATTCCACGAATTTCACCCTTTTTCTTCATTATTCTTTAAACATTACACCCCAGTGATTAAGTAAATAGCTGACAGTCAATAAACTGCATGAAACTAGAGTGGGGGGGTGGCATCATGAGGCGGTGCAGTTCATCTAAAAGCACATTTTCCGCGACGCCATTCGGACGCCATTTTGTTTCATATTTTTGATAGAATGGCGTCATGCACCGTCTGTTCCGTTCGTGTTAGCGTCTTCACGTCTTGCGTTCCGTATGCATTACAGGCAACCATATGGAAACCAGGCTTTAATGAAATCAATGTTTGTATCTGTATAGTGAGAGCGCATGAACGCATCGTGTATGCAACGCAACTCAAAAACGTACACATTGAAAGGCACCTGAACGGGTATGAACCTCAATGCGCATGACGGGAGTTCCCGCCATTGATCTGCATTTCAAAATGAAGATCAATGATTCCCACAAAAGAACCGTGGTCATTATTTGGAAACACTCCCTGCCTCATTTCCGCTGTGGGATCAGATTAAATGATCATAATAACAAAACCCAATGTTACTTTGAACTCTCATTTCACAGCTGCGCTCTTCAAGAAAAGGTTTCAAGTTTCAAAAAGATCAAACACAGGACAGCTGAAATGTTGCGTCCTTGGGGAGGAAAGCCACCTTTCGAAATGCCTGGCTCGTTTTGTAATTTTTTTTTTAACATGGACTCTGGCGATAGGACAAAATCGTCACATCACAGATGACCTCACAAAATTTGAAGTGGGTAGGCACAAAATCACTTCCAGATTGGACCAATAAGTTTTCATCATTTTCAATTACAAGAATATTTTGAGGAATACGGTTTTACTGAGGATAGAAGATTAATGATATCTACAAATAATTTACTATTCTTCGAAACAATATAAAGCAATAAGCCAAAATGTAAGTCTGGTACACTGGGTTATCTGGATGCACATATATAGCAATTTGAATTCCCAGACTGAAGCCACTGTTGCTATACCTCGCGATTCGGGGCAAACTTTTGCATAGCGCCCACCATCTCTGGAATGGACTGGTTCCTTTGTGCCCTTCTTATCCATTGAAAGCAGTGTATTGGTGCAAGGCGTCTCTTATGTAACTATTCAGCAAAAGCTTGCCCCACACCACGAGGTCTAGCAACAGTGATTTAGTGTGCCGAATTCCAATTGTTATGTTCACGTGAATTTAAACAACTCAGAGTACTAGATTTTATTTAAATCTAACTCGGAAAGGGCTTTAGTTATTAGTTTTGACAAGCGTTGCCATATTTTCAAGAGAGAATAACTGTGGAAAATTTGTGAATATTCTGAAAGTAAAAGTCTCAGAAATTCAATCATTAAGCTAATTTCTCAGTAGCCTTTACGCAGTCTGAGGTATAGGAAAGACAGTCTTACACGTTCCTAGGCCTTCAGGAACAAACTCATTCCATCCAAGAGCGGGAGGAAGTGCGGCAACTAGAGAATACGCCCATATAAATCCAACACAGACGAGGGCGCCACGGGTCGTCAGTCTCCTTGCAACGAATGGTTTAACAACGAAGAAAAACCGCTGTAGGGAGATTGCTGCGATTCCAACGATTTGTGCGCATCCTGTTTGGGGTGAAATACACAATGATATAAACAAAAGTTATTAATAAATAAAAACATGATATTATCTTTTACTTAAAACTGTCACACTATCGTATCGCAAGGAGGACTTTTTTCAACTTTTTTCTACTAATGAGTTATTAACCATTACTTTTTTAGTCTGCTACCAAGAAGCGTCATCCGATGTAACAGGGCAAAATTGGAGTGTAAGTCACCCCAGGGTTTTTCAGGGGTTGTTTTTCTTGATGTTCATACGCTGTTTGGAAATTCATTTAACAAAAAAATACAGGTTGCAGCCAAGGCTTCAATAGGAAGGATCAATTGTCAACAGGAAGACATCATTAACTTTGGACGGAAAGCCATTATCGCGGATAGATTACTACCCTTCTCTTTCTTCAATGTCTGTGCGCATGGTCAAGTTTATTTAGAAATGGTGGTTTGAACCAGAATGTTTATATGTGGACTGTCATCCTTCCCAGCATCCATCAAAATTTCCTAAAGCTGATCAGTGTCATCAACAAACTATCTTCATATTCTCTAGGCGCTGCTCCTTCTAGAATTATGGTTATTATTTAATTTTTTTCTTGTTTTATTTTTTATTTTATTGAAGTCTCTCTGGGATTCCTTAAAAGTGCCCTTGGCAATGTAGCTTAAAAGCCTAAAGAAACCTGTCTGGAGGAGAAAATGAGAAGAAGTTACAATTTTAGTGGTGGGAGGAAATTCCCAGAGAAATATTCTGGATAAAACCTACGGAATCAGGTAGGAGCTAAAAACCCAGTCAACATGTGGACCGGGCCGTAAATCGAACTGACAGTCAATAAATCTGGAGGAAAGGGTCCACTGCAACTATGGTACTATAATTTGACGCGTCGTCCTCAACACATCAGAAGTCACCTTCTTAAGAGTTTTGGCAAAATGAAGATTCGCACTGAAAGAAAACCCTTCAAATTTCAAAGGCTGTTCGATGTAAAATGCAGCCTCCTGACGATACGGGCCAGACGTCATAGTTGAGTAAAAAATTTGCATGTACTGCAATTTCTTTTCGAAATTGGAAGAATCGGGTGCTAATTTTACTTTGTGTAACAACTCCATTGACTTGCTTCATTTTTGGAGTTCATTGCTTCGAGAAATACCAAGTAAAAAATTATTCGATTCAAACACTCAAAGCGCAGCGTTGTTTGGCAAAAAATCCATGAGCCACAGGATGTTCCTAAGTGCTTGGATAATGCACAGTCGAGATGGATTTGCAGATAAATGTTGGCCTTCCAACAATTTATTTTTTTCTTACGGCTTCGAGTAGTTAGTGGTCGGCACATTTACTTTCAAGTTTGTGCCTCTTTCTCCAACAACGCAACCCTGAGCATTTGTCGAATAAAAAACAATTTTATCGTTCAGTGAAGTGACTGCACAATAATTTATGCAGGATCTTATAACCACTCACAACTGTGATTCTTCAAATGTGTGCCGATCAAAAACCGTCCATACTCCGTCAGTGCACATCATAAACACTCTACCAATGAACAAAATGTGGTAAACACCTTTGCAATTTGGCCATGAAGGTCATTTTGATTGTCAAAACGAGAGGTTCAATGCCTCAAAATTGCAGATTTTTCTCGAGAAAACAGGCTGGCCTACTTACAGCACATAGCTCGAAAAGGAAGTACGAGAAAACAAGCTGGCTTAATGTGGCACAGAGCTCGAAAAGGAAGTACGAGAAAACAAGCTGGCTTAATGTGGCACAGAGCTCAAAAAGGAAGTACGAGAAAACAAGCTGGCTTAATGTGGCACAGAGCTCAAAAAGGGACAGCCAAGTGGAAAGTGCTGCTCAGTTAAGATAATACCATTAGGTTAAGGCTGACAATGAAATGTGGACATGTTCCTGTAAGGTAAATTATTTTGGGTTGACAGTGAAGTGGGGACATATTCCTATAAGGTAAATTTTTTTTTATAAAACTTTAATTTCAACTTTGCTTTCTTAGCCTATCAAATAAATCTATGTTATTAGTAAGTGATGATGCGCTTGGACGTGCCGAAGGCGCATTCGCAGCTTTTATTTCATCCAATAATATAGACTCGCCCCCAACAGCTAAACGCATCATACATATTTTTTTGGTTTCGCCCGTTTACGGTTGTTTTATTAACTCGCATTGCATCTTTCAAAGCTCATGGGAGAAAAGTACATTTCTCTTTTCTCGAGAATATCATTATCCAGGCTCAAAGATTTCACAGACTGTCTGACCCTACTGTTTACTTACTTTACAGTAAGACATTTGAAGATACTGTAATTCAACAGCCCCATTCCTGAGAATTTACAAAGCGTGTACGCTGCCTTTATCCCGATGCCACTTGTGCAAACTGCTAAAATGCACACTGCAACTCAACCGAACGGGAGACGCAGTGTGCATATATGATTTATGGACCATTACTGGGTTCTTCCCTTAGATTAAAATAGTAAGTTGAAGGACTTCTGCATTGCGACTACATCGTCAATCTCCCAACTGTGACATTATTATAGTGATTACTGTTGTGTAAACTTCATATATTTAAGTTTCTAACATACACAGAAAATGAAATGTATCGTGACCAAAAAGTTCATTAAGCTAGCACACATCCACATTATCTGCATTAAATTGTTTGAATTAAAGCACGCTACGGGCGAGCCTCGAAGTTGAACCGAGAGCCAAATGCCCCCAGGGTAAGAATGTTCCCACGTGGACAGCAATTCCTGCTATCCGAAGGACAGCTTGCTTTTGTTCTGGCGCAGAAAAGTGGGAAAATGTTGAGAGTTTATACCCAGCAAGAAATGAGACCGAGGGGTACCCCCCAACATGTCCAATCCCTATACACATTCCAGACTATG